CTTGTTCAAGATCTTGAGAGTATGTTCACACTACTTATTGATGTTTCTTTGTGTCTTGGCGACAGTGCCATTATGCAGTAAATTTTCTTTTGGCTAATGATAGATCAGCAAATAAAGAGCTATATGATGTTCTCGGGAGAACTCACAACACCCATTAGAGCTATGTGATCCTGACATTTTTCTTTCATCCCCGTGTTTTTTTTTCTTTCATGAATCTGTAGGGGAGTGCCTTGGACTAATATGAAATATTTTTTAGGGCAGTTGAAATCCTGTATATGTCTGATCCACAAGTACATAACTAAATGGGATGACAATGTAAATTGTTCTACTTATCCAACCCCCCCCCCCCCCCCCCCAAAACACCACCCACAAAAAAAAAGGTTTTCACACTTCTGCTATAGCTTTTAAATGAACCCTTGTCTCTTAGAATATCATGTCAAAAACAGTACATACATGGAGCTACTTCTGTTCTTTTGTTTCTGATTTCCTAAATTAGGTCCATATTTGGTCAAGACATTACATCATCTCATACATCATTTCAAAGCAATAAGCACCCGACCTCACGCCTATTTATGTGAATAAGTTTATTGGCTTGTGCATGATGGGTGACACTGATGTTCTCTTGTTGTAGGGAAGGACCTGAAGAAGTTAATTAGCAATGTGCAGGTTCACCGTGAAATAAGAAAATTTTGTTATAGCCTACTTGATTAGAGATCATAGCCTACTGTATTCCAACTATTTTCTTCTTTGTATAAATCAGGTGCCAGTAGCAGCCGTTGTAGTAATGGCTTGCAATCGTGCTGATTACCTTGAAAGGACCATCAAATCTATCCTGAAGTATGTTTGTGTTTTTAGCTACTGTTTGGATTGATGGAATTGAAAAGGAAAGGCAAGGAAAAGGAGGGATTATGTATTTTATTTTGGATTGATTTTTTGAGGAGGGAAAGGGATGGAGAAGATAAGTTTTAAATGTTAAGTTCATTTTTGTCCTAAAGTATGTGTACTGCAAGGGAAAGGAACATTTTGATTAATAGTTTTAAAATATATACTTTCTAGACAGAAACTTTGCTATTTGATTCCTTGCCTTTCTATCTCACAGTTTTTTAAACATGTCCTCTATTTGCCTTTCACATCTATCGAATCAAAAAATAAAGTAATACCACCACCCTTTACTTTTTTTTCCACCATTATCTATTCCTCTCATTTCCTTTCAATCCTAAGGGTGCCCAAGCATTATTCTTCTGCTAAGTAAAAGAGTCGTACGGGATTTTACCTGACCATTATTGGTATGTTCTTCATGTCAACCAGATATCAAAAGTCTGTCGCATCAAAATTTCCTCTCTTCATATCACAGGTACATTGATGAGGTGGAGATTGTCTCTTCTATTTGATATTTTGTGTTTGATGATACTTGTGGAGATAGGCTGCAATTTTCATTTTTTTTTTCTTTTCTATGAGCAGGATGGTTCAGATCCAAATGTTAAAAATAGGGCTTTGAGTTATGATCAGCTGACATACATGCAGGTATTTCTTGTTATTTGTTGTTTGTGGCGGCTTTGGCTATAAGTTGAATATATACAGCTCTCAAGTGAATTGATACTAGGGGCCTGTGATTTTGTAGGCATTCCCCTTAAAGTTTAGCACCTTTTTCTGATGTTAATGCATCTGAATAGTGATCCATTAGAAACTGAGACAGTTTATTTGTCAAGATTATGGAGGAAAGATTGTCCTTTTAATTTGCATCATTGGCCTGATCCTATTATCTTAATAAACTCTGAGAATACTCTTTCAATGAGTCTGCTTTCTAACTGTTTTGATGATTCCTGTTTTGTAGCACTTGGATTATGGACCTGTCCACCCAGATAGGCCTGGGGAGTTAATTGCCTACTACAAGATTGCACGTATGGCTGCTTTTATGTCTTCTTTAAATGACATATAAGTGTATCTCTTACTTTTTGATGATGTTATAGGTCATTACAAGTGGGCATTGGATCAATTGTTTTACAAGCACAATTTCAGCCGAGTCATCATACTTGAGGGTGCTGACATCTCCTTTTGAATACTTCTACTCTCTTGTCTTGCTTTCACTAAGAGTCAATTCTTGCGAACTGCAGACGATATGGAGATTGCCCCAGATTTTTTTGCCTATTTTGAGGCTGGAGCAATGCTTCTTGACAGTGACAAGTTAGTTTCTTTTGAAGATCAAATTCTTTTCGAGTGTAATAATTTCTGTAATTTACACGCACTTTAAACTCTTGACACTAGGTCAATTATGGCTATATCTTCGTGGAATGACAATGGGCAAAAGCAGTTTGTGCAAGATCCTTGTAAGATTCTTAATCTTTTTTTTTTTTTTGTTGACTGTTCAACAGTACATAGCTTGAATAAGAAGTTTAGCTGGATTAAACTGCATAATGCTGTTATTTGAAACCATAATTTCAAGGGCTGTTTGACTGCTTTTATCGTTGAGTGGAGCTCCTGTTCTCTGATTAACTTGATTAATGCATTTCAGACATGAATTATCATCAACTTCTATTGTAAACAGAGCTTTCTGTTTCTGCTTGTTACCCATTATGTTATTTGCAGACGCGCTCTACCGCTCAGACTTTTTCCCGGGTCTTGGATGGATGCTTTCTATATCTACATGGGATGAATTATCTCCAAAGTGGCCAAAGGCATATCCTTCTACATATTTATGTTTGAACATGACACTTACAGAAAGGGACTTGCATTATTTCATTTTTAACTTCTCCTCCTTAGTTATTATATCACAATAAAAAATTAGGGTGCAATCTTTTGAGCATTTTCTTGACCAAACATTCACTTACTGGGATGATTGGTTGAGACAAAAGGAGAATCACAAAGGTCGACAATTTGTTCGACCAGAAGTGTGTAGAACATACAACTTTGGTGAGCATGTAAGTATATCTGAGAACTTTACAGATTTCTTCTGTTTAACACAGTTCAGGTTGTCTCTGGTGATAAAGAGAATGCATTGGATGGTGATGTCCTGTCAGCCATGGCTGAGTTTTTCTCTGGATATATTGTCATCTATGATCAAGTCTATCTTCTGTTCTAAGGACAGATGTGGTCATAACGAAGATACTTGGTTTTGATTCTGAATGCTGTAAATTGTCATCTTATTTGCTTCTGAAGAAGTTGCTGGAGCTACCTACCTCTATAGTGTCAGCTAATTTGATTCTTTTGTTGCCTTACTGGTAGAGTTGACACTACTAGATGTTTAGTATTCATGGCCTTCCTCTATCTCTCTCATTTGATGTTGCAACTTTCCTCTTTCAGTTCATTTTTATAAAATTTCCCACTCTTTTGGCATATGATCTTTTTTCTGAAGTCTTATTGATTTACTTACAGGGGTCTAGTTTGGGGCAATTCTTCAAGCAATATCTTAAACCTATTAAGCTGAATGATGTACAGGTATGTATCTGTTGTCATCGCTTTGTTCTTCGTTTTCACTTTCTTTAGCGGCTGCTACCAGACTCAGTTTCTCTGATAGTATATTTATTATTCTATTGTTGGCCATAGGTTGATTGGAAGTCTATGGACTTGAGCTATCTAATGGAGGTATTAATCACAGCTTAAACTGAAATCTGTTTCATAAGGCAAAAATACAGGACAAAATTGCATAGAGAAATTTAGTGTCTTCCGTACTCAGTTATTGATTGTAAATCAAAATTTTCAGGACAAGTATGTCAAGCATTTTGCTGAACTGGTTAAAAATGCTAAACCTGTGTATGGAGCTGATGCTGTTCTAAAAGCATATAACATAGATGGTGATGTGCGCATTCAGTACAGAGACCAAATGGATTTTGAATTCATTGCCCGCCAATTTGGTATTTTTGAAGAATGGAAGGTAATAATATGGATTTGGTTTTCTTTTCTATTTCCATGGTGTTACCTAACTTTGAAGTTTGGATTTAAGTTTCCTTTTTAATTCCATGGCGTCCATATATCTATTTGATCGAACTTTGAAGTAGAGCTGTATCAGAACTTGAATGTCTGGAGAGTATGTGGTCAAATTAGTTTTAAGACTCAGAAAATACACCTTGTACACATTTCTAAGATTGAAAACACATGCAGTTTTTTTCTTGAGTTCTCATTCATAAACTTGTATTAGTTTAATCTCTCCTATTTCTGCTGTGTTAATGGTCTTCGGTTCATGCATAACACAATTTTGATTCCTGTGAGTTTACGACATCAATTCTTCTGCTTTTCCCAACAGAAGTGAAGTATCATTGAAAAACAGAAATGAATCAGCCTATCTGTTATGTTGATACATATGTTCTTTAGTTGTCTACATATTCTTCTGTATTCAACCACCTACAGTTTTGCCCCCATTATTCTGTTCCCTTTCCTTTTGTAGGATGGGATACCACGGGCTTCGTATAAAGGAGTAGTAGTTTTCCGGTATCAAACCCCAAGACGTGTATTCCTTGTCGGTCCTGATTCCCTCCAGCTGCTTGGGATTGGACGCACCTAGAGGTAACAAGCATCTGCTCTTATCCCAATTTCTTTTCAACAAAAGCAAGCTTAAAGGGCTAATACCTTAAAGGTTACTGAAGGGATCTCTATTTTTGTATGTTACTTCACACGTTCAAACACTGTTTTTAAGTGCCCTCCTGTATGTTGCATCCATCACCAGATAACTGATGGGAAGCCACAAAGAAACATAGAAGCTGAGTATGGACCTTCCGCTATTAGTTTATGCCTGATGGCCCACAATTTTTGAACAAAGAAAGAATAAAGATGTTTGATCTTCTTTTTTACTTTAAGATCATGTCTTGAAGTTAATTGACTGACAGATACCTCTATCTGTCTCTGAGCAGTTTTGTAGAAGAGGACACGATTTTCGGATAAAGTGGGTTTAGTGATGTGAAAAAGATTCCTATAAAAGCATGCAGAGGCATTATGGGCAGTTTATCGTCCAATTCACTGTAAGGAGTATGTGACTGGAGCTTACAAAGTTAAGTTTTTTTTTTTCCCCCTAAAATTATCACACAGGAGAGTCAAAAGTACCAGTTTGCTACCAACAGATGCATTTTCGAGTGGAGAGGAAGATGAATTGCGACCATCCCCCTATATGAGCCCCTCCCTCCCTCCTTAGTAGTGTAGACGGGTGGTCGTTACTCTTTTGTAGATTGTAGTACTGAGTAATTAAATGGACACATACTGTTAATAGTTAAAGACAGTTCAGTACCCATAACGAATCCTAAAACATTTTTTTGCCTAAGCTGCATAAAATTTCACTCGGATTGTTATTCTATATTTCATCAATTAGTAGTTCTTTTTTTTTCCCTCCATTTTCTTTTGGTAAAAATTACGTTGTGTGCTAACTTTTAAGCAGTGTAAAATGTGGTCCTCTCAGCTGCTTGCAAAGAGGGCTCTATTTGGATACTGTGCACCTCAATTGTAACAGAGAGATTAGTTTAATAAGATGTCTGGTCCCAATTGTCGCGAGAGGAGAGGATGCGCCAGAGTTCCTGCAAAGACATTTTTAAATTCCCAAATGGCAATTTTAGGCTCCAACATTTTCTATTTTTTACCCTTTCTTGGACTAGAAAAGTTATAGCGTTTATCTCAATCTTTAGAAATTAAGAGCCTCAAACAGGGACAGAGTTGCAACTGGGACGGTAGGCACGGGACTTTTGCACTATAACAACGCGAATAAAGACACAATAAACCCTGGAAAGCCCTATGGAAAAAAGAAAGAAAAAAAAAAGGATTCTGAACCAAGAGTGGACATAGTCAAAAAATGGTCTTTTGACTTGTTGCAGTGACTGTAGTCATGGCCAAGAGTAGACGTTGATCAAGAAGAAGAGAGGTGGCCTTGTTCCACCAGGGATGCGATGCAGTCATCGAACATTTCCCGGATGGACCTGAAGTTCTTGAATCCCAAGCCCTCCAGCTTCGATGTATTCAGGTCATAAGATGGTCTGTTATCAAGCTTGTGAAACCTGAAACGGGAGGAGGTACGGCATGGGTATAATTTCGATGCAAGGTAGGCTACTAGTAACTAAGTAGAATACTAAATAGCAAGCAAACCTTTTGGGTATAGGCAGGGCAGGGTAGGTGGCGGATAGAATGGAGGCTAGCTCATCATTGTCAAGGACAGTGGAAGAACAGAGGTATCGTCCTTGAGCATTCCTGCGTTCATACACCAGGATGTGACACAGCGCAACATCGTCAATATGCACATATCCCATTCTTCCATGCCATTCGAATTTCTGCGTCTCCCCTGTATTATTACAGTGTATGCTACCCATTATGCTTTAGGGATATGCTACGATTAACACCAAATAGCACACGAGAATGAGAGAGAGCAGCTAGTACTCCACCTTTGAGCAAGCCGAGGACGTCGGCCGCTGTGGAACATAACTCCGGAGGCAAGCTAGGTCCAATCACGAATGAGGGGAGAACGGTGACCAGGTCAATCTCGTTCTCCTCACAGAATTTCCAGGCAGCCTTCTCCGCCAGAGTTTTTGATAAAACATACCAGATCTTCTTGCATTTGCCAGAGCATGCAAAATTAAGCATTATATCACAGCATGTTTTTTTTTTATCCAAAAATCTGTGTGTTTCTTAGTGCTGTTGCAAATTCACAAACTGATTCATGCGGAGTTGCTGATGAGGGTACGTACCTTCAGTCTCTCGCAGAGCATCTCAGAGCTCCAAGATGATTCGTCCAGTGGTACGTTGGGATCAAAATCCTCTCTTGCCCTCACAGTTGAGGAAGACGAGGTCAGAACAACACGCTTCAGAAATGGATTTTTCTTGCACGAACGCAGCACATTTAGCGTACCCTCAACAGCAGGTTTCAAAATTTCAGCCTATGCAATTTTAGGATTAGATTAGGAGTCAATAACTTTGTGTGATGCACATACATATCTCACAAAATCGACAGCATGTATGTGGATTTCGCTTGTGGATCTAATTCAGAACTAACTAATTTCCTCAACCACTCCATAAGAAGGCAACGCCCACTTGAAAAGAAAAGAACTTGGAACGCAATAACGAAAAAAAAAAAAAAACCCTTCTTCCCCATTTCTTGTTTCTCTCAGGTAACAGTTACACTGAAATTGCTTTGCTAGTTCATTGCAGTCCACAATGTTAGTTTAGTGCCGCCAGCACTGCTGAGGATTTTGTTATGAGAATTATTGAGTTAATAAATGCTGTCAAAGTGGCATCCACAATCAAACTTTACATGCCTTGGGATCGGATGCTGGTCGCCCTAGAACAGGGGATGCAGTGTGAAAGACACCTTCACAGCCCATTATTGCATCATCGAAGCTGCCTTCCTCCATTAAGTCGCCCTTCACCAGCACCAGTCTCTCCTTTGCTCCCTCCAGCCTCCAGAGATGTGCTACCTTCTTGGCATTTTCTGTTCATGTCACAAACTCACAACAGAGACTAGGCATGCATGACTCGCCGCCATTCATCAATTACTTCTTGGCATGCTCAGTTCCCGGAATGTATTCATGCCATTCCCAGCCCAGGCACCAACACCAAAACAATGAAAAAAAAAATAAAAATAAAAAGAAAGAAAGAGCTACCTGGATCTCTGACCGTCCCGGTTACTCGATAGCCAGACAGCAGCAGTCGCTTGATCAGCCAAGAAGCCAGAAAGCCAGATGCACCGGTCACGCATACTTTGCCCCTGTTTTCCTCCATCTCTCGTTCTTCTCTTGTTCTTTTGGAGTTTCTTTCCTCTTTCATTTTTTGGCTCACCCCTTTTTATAACAGTTCAAAGCTATTACATTTAAGGTAACACCACCTTCAGCGTCTTTAGTGATTCATACTTAAATAGTGTATATAAATTCATCCAACATTTGTGAAGCATCGGAGGTTTTACAGATGAGGCAAGTCATCGCAGGTTTGTGAAGCATCCACTTGACAACTAACTGCATAAAACAGAAATAAATAAAATCTATCCAAGGCCTTCAGTCGAGAGTCGGCAACGAAAGTATGGCAGCTCGTAACAAATGCTATTTTAATTAGCATTACAAGGGAAAAAGTTCGAACTTTGTTCTCCAATACAATTTAAACACAATAATGCAACCGCAATGTAAACATTCAACTTTGTTCTCCAGTACAATTTGAAGGACTGCTCCAATTGTAAAAATGCAGACCGTCAAATAACACTATGTATGGGTACAACATACTGGCGAACCCAGCACAATTCAACTAACAATGTAGCAAAAATTGCAAATCCAATCATATCAGCCTCCACTGTACGACACACACACACACTTGTATACAACCAGCAATTGATTGTCCTAATATACTTTAGCTTGTCAAACCATGGTACCAACTGCCAAATTACTTAACTACAACCTAAAGTCACCAAGCATGATTGGCAAGTCGTCATTTTTTGATGTGAAACAGATTGGTAAGTTGAATAACTGCTCAATGATGCAACCCTATACCCCCTGCAGCAACAAGTCGCACTAAAAAATTAAGGGAGGCAACGGCAATGAGCAAAACTTTTCCTTTGGCAAAAGAGTACTTTCTTTACACAGGTACTAGACACTGACGTTTCACAGAAATGTGGTCATGTTCTTTGGGTGTATCCAAAGTTCCATTCTCATCATTGACAGCAACAGGCTCCCCATCATTGAGATCAAAAGTCCAACCAGGAAAATCGGATTCTGAGAACAAAGAGGTTGGAGTAGATTTATAGAATGCCAGAGGCACCTGTTTGACCCTCCTTCTAATCTGCAAGGATAGTGATTCGGGACACTTTATTATATAGACACCAAAGCTTGCTCTAACAGCAATGATCTGATTGCTATCGCATAGAAGACAATCACTGCCAGATTTAGCAATTCTGAGCAGTGCTTGTGCAAGGACTTGATAAGCACATAGAAACAGATGCTACAAATGTTTGTTAAAATATTAAGAAAGCAACAAAAACGAGGAGAACATAAGATGCCTTATTTCTGAGGCCTCCTAAAGGATCCATGGATGATTTTCAAGTATAAAGATTGACCATATTACCTCCTCACCAAAAATAGTTGCATATGATCCAGAACTGAAATCTTGCACAGCAACTTCGGATGTTTTGGCTCTAATTGTTAAGTCACTCTCGAGGGACAAAACAAATCTAGTACACAAGAACAGTGACCAGTTAAGAGAATATGAAATGGCATTGAGCTCCCAAATTAGTTTACTTTTACACCGACAGAAATACCCTCACCTATTATGATAAAGGTAACTCTTCTTTTTCACTAACTTAAAGTTACAGCTCTTTATGAAAATCTTTAATTTTGGACATCATTCAAAGTGCTATATGCAAGTCTTAAACTCGTTAAATCTAATTTACACAGTCAAAAACTAAATTTCAGCATTCTCTAGCAAAATGTTTTCTTGAATTTTGTAAACCAGTCATTTAAATTGCAAATAAGTGTTACTGCCATAGATGCAGGTTGTATTATTTCTAGTAAACATGGGCAAAATGGTGAGACAAATGAGGTGTTCTTGTTAAATTTTGCCATTAGTGCAAGAAAAAAGATAGTGGGACTGCCATTAACGATTCCCTTATTAAAAATCAAAGACGAGGTCATTGCATTCTTGATTGGAAACATGTACCTTGACACTGGTGGGCAATAGTGATGCCGGAGTGTATCAATTTCCCATAAAGAGCTTCCTGGCCAATGATTGTTGTTAGCATAATTGAAGGGGGAAAAAAGGGTATTATCCACTATTTTGTTTGTAAATTCAGATGACTTTCTATAGAATGCACACAATGGATCAAGGGTAGAAAGTCAAGGAATGCTAAGCTTAGATAGGAAAATGGTGGTCTACATATAATCTGCAACAAAAACTCTTAAGCAACCAGTCCCCCCACCAACCCCCCCCCCCCAAAAAAAAAAAGAAAAACCAAAATTAGCTTGCTTTTCTATAGAATAGACCTAATAAATTCAAATCTTACTCATAGCATTAGTTTTCATGGGATCACTTTGCTCATCATCAAATTGATCAATGCCTTGCTTGTTCGCAGAATCCGTGTCATCTGTTCTGTCAACACCACTCTTGTCTGTTGCAGATGTCACTTTACCAGTCTCATTGACATACCCCTGCAGCATATAGGTGTCAGTTCATAAGGAAGTATTTACGCAGATACCATTCAATGAAAGAATTGCCACATTAGAAACCTTTCCTGCCACCAAGTTTTGCATGATTCATAAGAATAATCAGTGTGGCAATTGAATGCAAGTGACTTGTGATGCGAAATTGTATACTTACCTGGTGCACCAAGAAGTTGATTGAAGGATGTCTCCTAAGAAGATTATGGACTAAAGCAATAATGATTAATGCCCCTGAAGGTGGAACAGAAAGTGCAAGTCTACTCAGTTTCTTACAGAAAGCAGCAGCCAAATACGCTGGAAGAAGCGGTGATTTCAAGCAAGAATCAATAAGCTGCAAACAGAATTCAAAATCAGTAAGAGGGTTACGTAATAAACGAAACAAATCTAAACAGTGATCCAAGCAAAACACTATTCTAGTCATTAAAATCTAGCATCACGATGACATGTCTCTATTACTCTTTCCCATTGAGATCAACCATGACGCAAACACCTCCAATGAGTTACTCATACCACATAGAGTTGAATGGAGGCACATGACTAAAATTACTCTCTCAACATTTGTCACCTTCCATCGCCACAAAACTCGTTCTTCTCAAACCCACATCTAACCTTCTCCTCTCCCTCTTATAACCAAGCACCTTTCCTTTCCCTGCATCCTTCTGTCATTAACTCTAGTTTCATTAATTTACCATCATTCTAAGATTCCTCCCTTAACATACAGATCCCACTATAACACTGCTCATGACTCCATCTCTCCAGTTCGCCTCTTTTTAATATTGATTGTAACATATAAATCACCATACTAACAAAAGAGAAGAATCCAGAGCAACAAATAGGACTGTGATCATCTAAATTAGTGAAATAGTTAAGTCTGCGGAACCGCATGCTGCATGTTTACTAATCATAATTAAATTCTGAACAAGTTTATAACATGGCTACGTTACAAAGTAGAAAAACTCCCAAAATCCAAGAAGAGAAAGTTGTTGGATTCCCTTCTCATCAGTTATTTGATGATGCTAAAACTTCCAAATAAATCTAAAAATAAAACACAGACTGCCTGCCTAGCTCCTTCCTGCTGAGTAATTCTCAAAAGCAGATTCTGCAGGTCACCTCTGCAAAGCATTAGTAACATCTAAGACACAGACAGGTGGTTGCAAAAATTTACACATTAAAACAGGGAAAGATGAAAAAAATCATCACAATAGACACTAAGCATGGTGAAGTCACGAGGAGCAAGGAAAATAAGTGTTTGTAACAAATTTGCACAACCATCTCCAGGAACAACACCTATGTCCACCAAGCAAGGCAAAAAAAGTGAGAAAATTATCAGTTGGATGCACAATATGCAAAATGTAGCACTCAGCCCTTACATAATTATAGTACCACCATTTCACCATCATATGAAACATACTTGTAAAAAACACAAGCAGTTATTGACTAATCTTTCTGAGCCTAATTCATTTAACCTCACTTGTCAAAGAAAACTGAAACCTGAAACATACAAGAGTACCTGAAAAAATTTAACCTAATTCATTTAATCTTTCAGCCCTTACATAATTACATTACCAGCGCACATCCATTTCACCATCATATGAAACATACTTGTAAAAACACAAGCAGTTATTTACTAATCCTTCCAAGCCTAATTCATTTAAACTCACTTGTCAAACAAAACTGAAACCTGAAACATACAAGAGTACCTCGAAAAATTTTGCTCGATATTTAGCCATAAAGATAGCAGGTTCCAACAGTGCATAAAGCTTCTCATAGAAATTTGGATACTCGAGGCCATGTTGTGTCATAAGGATATAGAGACTGCTGAGAGCCATCACACTCACAACACCTCCTATATCATATGATCTTGTTAAGAAATCACTGCAATTTATGAGCAAAACTTATCATGGACATATTGACGGTAAAAGAGTAACAGAACATAAATGTAAATAAAAAGCTCTTAACAAATTACCACAGCATGATTGGGTTAGAAAGGTGAGGAATAACAGCTTGATGAAGAGTAGCAAGAACCTAAGCCACAAAGCAAGAGCAAGAGAGCATGAATTTGAATGCAAATCAAATCATTCAAACAAACAATATAATGATACAAGAAAAGCAACCAAAAAGATATCAAACCAATGACATGTGTGAGAGCCTTCAAAGCCAGTTTCAGATAACAGTAGCAGCCCCTTATAATCAGGAAAGGTGAATAGTATGAACATCGGGGATAACTAGAATTATCATTCAAGATGGCAACAATATAACAAATGAGGAACTTCCATCAATTATTACTCTTTTTGTTCATACAGCATTTGCTTCATGAGATCAATATGTATCAGATTATATACATCTGGTAACAGTAAACTACATACTTCTACACAACAGAGAAACTGAAACAGAACATATAGGAGCTCAACATCCAGAAGAAACACTCTAAGATGCAAAATACACATCTAATTGCTAATGATCTGCTTACTTCCTTGTATACATCAAGTGGAAGCAGCAATCTAAGGAATGATATCCATGCTTTACTAAACTTTAATTTCATCTTTTTAGTAACACTGGCTGCAGAAAAGTCCTGATAGAGCCAAAAGAGTGGAAACTCAGGTCAAAGACAATATAAAGTGACACAGGTTCGATGTGAAAGGAGATCATCTAAGTATTAAAAATGGAAGCTACATGAGTGAGAAAAATTCTAAAGGTTCATCGCAGTACAAACCTTGCGATCATGTAATCTTAATTTCTGCTGTTTATCCTCTGCATCTGAAAGGTGATCATGGTTTTTCTTGTTGAATTTTCTAGTAAAAATATCTATCAATTTGGATACAGGTCAATACCAATATAACATCAATTGAATTACTACATTCAAAGAATACAGATTTAATGCAAAAAACTGTGAAGATTAGGTGAGGACAACATATCCAGTTTTTCAGAAAATCAATACACCTTGATTTGATCAAATCAAATGCAACTCAAATTTAAAATAAAGTATTAGGATCTGCAAGGGATGTGACTATGCATCTTGAATTCATTACAAAATAGAAAAAATCTTCAACGTTGTAGATTAGTGTTAGAAATACATCATACATGTGAATATTAGGTGAGGACAACATATCCAGTTTTTCAGAAAATCAATACACCTTGATTTGATCAAATCAAATGCAACTCAAATTTAAAATAAAGTATTAGGATCTGCAAGGGATGTGACTATGCATCTTGAATTCATTACAAAATAGAAAAAATCTTCAACGTTGTAGATTAGTGTTAGAAATACATCATACATGACAAATATTTTTAACATCAGACACAAAAAACTGTTTACCAAAATAATGTGAGTAGGGAAAGAAATTTTTGAACTAATAGAGTCAAGGTCAAAAATTAAAGAATGAACTTACCAACACAACTCCACATTTCATAATTAGACTCCACAACTGAAACTTCTAATGGTGGGATGCGCGATAGCAAATGATATATCATCCGAATACAGACCTCCATGCTACAACCAAATATACATGGTCAAAGATTTAATAATAGTGCAAATCCTATAATCATGTGATTTCCAATTATGTGAGTTCAGAACATAAGGAAGCCCAAGTCGAAACTAAATAAAAAGAGTACGCTTACATGGTTCACAGAGATTTCACAAAGATTACACATTTGTTAAGTTGTGCCAGTATTGGCTTTGACGCAAATGCAAACTCGCAACATCAATGGCAAACAAATAAAAAGGAACACAGACAAGCTTTTTTTTGGGGGGGGGGGACCCAATGTAAATTGTTGTAATCCAAAACCCTCTAAAAGTAAACCAGAAACATAAAAAACCAACACAGAGACCCACAGATTCACATACATACAAAACACACAGAAAGGGCAGCAATGCCTAGACTCTAAAACATCAAAGAGATGTCATTGCAACAACTGTTCATAGTGAAGCAAGCAAGTTTGGACCCTGCATTCTTGATCCTTATCTCTTGTATGAAGCCAAGGAATCTGGCCTGCACCATATTCCAACTAAAGAGCAAGTTCAACAGTACAAGAAAATGAAAGTGACCTTGTATGAGTAGCATTAGCATATAGAAATGAAAATAGCTCCCATTTAGCTTATACAATGCCATAGCTCAATTTATTGTGCAGGATGATCTTAGCAATACAGCAAGAATCACATTGATCTGCCTTGAGTAAGACGGCTAGGAACACGAATAATCTACAGGTACCTTGCCCTTGACCGATTTCCAGCAGCAGACTCTGAAGTTGCACCTTTATCATCTGAACGACAAACAGGTCAAGGAAGTTTATTAAAGAAAAAAAAAAGTTGTACCAGTTTTGCATTCCTTTCGGAAGTGAGACAGAGTAAATGTAGCACTGAATGCTATGCTAGTGAAAAAAAGGGCCATTGAAGAGAATAACTGTCAAAAATTAATAAGTACCAGCTGAATCATCAGGCTCCAGAGTTCGTGCTATCTTTTCCAAGCTTATGTACGTGAAATAACTGTCAGAAGAGAATAACAAGTCAGAAACATGGTTTGGAATGCAAGACAATGTTCTGAAGTAAGAATGCGTGAAGGTTATTAAGCAAGCATTGGTATATTTGGCATCATGCTAGATGACAGATATCCCCAAAAAAAAAATGCATAGAAATGCGTAGGAATCAAATGCATCGTTTTAGTTGCTGAAAGGTTGGGCTAAAAGAGTGAATAGTGTTTCACCATTAACAACAGAGTTTGAATGAATGCCTTTACAGCAATACATAGACAGAGTCACCATAGGGGAGATGTCAAGTCATCAAGAAGAATAGACATCATCATACCGGACATCAATATACTTGAAGTACTTGGACGCCAGCAACTGTAACAGTATATCACCAACTCCCAAAGTAGAGTGAACCTACAAGTGCCACAAATTTTTTTAAAAAAAAAAAGGGAAATAGATGAATGGTACTGATTAATCAAAGCAAAAACAGAAAAGGTAACGTCACAAGAAATGATCAGCATTCCAAGATGAAAAGGCCAATAGAGATCAAGAAATATATGGGAAAAAAGAAAGTAGCAGGGGGAGAGGGAGCG